TGGAGTTGAGGATTATCAGATCAGCTATGATTTCATTGAATAGCACAGCAGACTCAATGGGCTGAATGGCCTACATCTCATGATCTTACTGAGGTAGGCTGAAATGTGTTCCCAGATCTTGGTTATCAAATCCCAATTCTTAAAATAATCCTTTAGAATGAAATCAAAGCTAGGGAATTGTTTTGCTCTTTCATCCACACATACGTACATATACTCACAAAATGCAGCAAGACAAGACTGGAGAGGTAACAGTGATATCAGTGACAGGACAACATTTGGAAAAATTTCTGAGGGACAGAATTAATCTCCATTGGGAGAGGCAATAATTGATCAAAGGTATCACTTTTGACAGGTTTGAGTTTTTGGAGGAGGTGACTTATAGATGAGGGTAGTGCCTTGGCTGCAGTGTACGTGGGCTTCAGTAAGGCTTTTGACAAGGTCTCACATAGGAGACTAGTCAAGAAGATAAGAGCCCATGGAAACAGGGCAATTGGCAAATTGAGATGCAAAATTGGCTTAGTGACAGAAAGCAGAGGGTGATGGTTGAAGGTTGTTATTGTAACTGAAAACTTGTCTCCAGTGGAGTATCACAGAGTTTAGTGCTGGCTCCTTTGTTGTCTGCAGTATACGTTAATGATCTAGACATGCAGACAGGATTCCACTGCACACCTGAGAGTCGTCTAATTGGTGCACGATGTTGTGTCCAAGCGCCACTGTTTTCAGGCAATGGATGGCACCAGACACAAGCTTGATGTCCACCACTGTGCTGCTTGCCACTTTCTGCAGCAAAAATATTTCACTACCCAGCAGCCCAGAATTGTCAGAAAAATATAAAGGTCAGATATTTTTTCATCAGCCTGTTCTGGAATGGTAGGACTTGATCCTGGGCCTCCTGGCTCAGAAGTAGGGACTGCCATAAGAACCCTTGCCAACCCAGGCCTCTTTTCTTTAAAAAAGTCAACTTTATTGACATGATATGATGCACCTCTGGAGCAGGTGGGAACTGAACCTCAGCTTTTTGGTCCAGAGGTACCAGTGCACCTCAAGTAACCCTCCCAACCTGAGTCTCCTTTTTTATTCTCTGTTTCATATCCGAAAGTGTTGTCACACACGACCAATGGCTACTTAGTGACCACCAAAAAGGTGAGGGAGAAGTGGGGAGAGGGCTAAATACAAATGTATTTGGAAGGGGAGATAAAGCACACTATTTCCTCAGGTGCCCACCTTTCTCTAAAAGCATCAAGTGTATTGGTGGACATTCCTTGCCAATTGCAGTCAGGCACAAATGTAAACTAGGCCTCTTTTTAAAAAAACATTTCTAATCAGACATGTTATTTCATACCTCTGAAGCAGCCGGGACCTGAACCTGGGGTTCCTGGCACCCCTGCTTGGATGGAATTCCACATTGTTCAGCCTGGTTGCTCAGTGGTTACCATTGCTGCCTCACAGCGCCAGAGACCTGGGCTTAATTACACCCTCGGATGACTGTCTGTATGGAGTTTGCACGTTCTCCCTGTGTCTGCGTGGGTTTCCGCCGGGTGCTCTGGTTTCCCCTCAGAGTTCAAAGATGTGCACTGGCCATGCTAAATTGCCCATAGTGTCCAGGGATGTGTAAATTAGGTGGATTAGTCATGGGAAATGCAGGGTTAAAGGAGAAGGGTAGGGGGACGGTTCTGGGTCGGATGCTCTTTGGAGGGTTGTGGACTTGGCTGAATGGCCATTCCACACCGTAGGATTCTGTAATATCTATGGTGATATCTATGACGTGTAGGTAGAAGGTTAGATCAGTAAGTTTGCAGATGACCCACTAAATTAGGGAGGAACCACAGGATGATGTAGAGTGGTTCATTACCTGGGCAGAAAAATCGCAAATGGAAGTTAATCCTGAGAAATGTAAGGTGATGCATTTTGGGAGGACCGACAAGGCAAGGGCAATGAATAGTAGGACATTAGGAAGTTGTTGGTGTGCTTGTTCATCAATCATTAAAGGCAATAGGACAGGTGGTTAAGGTGGTCCAAAAGATACAAGGGGTATTATTAGTCGAAATATAAAACACAAGAACAAAAACGTTATGATGGTGCTGTATAAGTTGTTAGTTAGGCCACAGCTAGAGTACTGTGTGCAGTTCTGATCGCCAGGGTACAATAAGGATGTAATTGTATTAGAAAAAGTGCAGAGGAAATGCACCAGGATGTTACCTGAGTTGGTGTGTTTCAGCTATAAAGAGAAACTAAATAGGTTGGGTTTTCCTAAGAGGAGACAAGTCTGTGAGGGGACCTGATTGACAAAATTATAAAATTATGAGGGGCATAGAGAGGGTACATCTCCTCCTAGTATAGGAAAGAATAACAAGGGTTATAGATTTAAGATTAGGTAAAAGATTTAAGGTAAAAGCAGGAGGTTTAGATGGGATTAAAGGAAGAACTTTTATCACCAGAGGGTGGTGGGTATTTGAAACTCACTGCCTGAAAGAGTAGCGGAAGCAAGTACCATCACAACATTTAAAAAGATTATCACTTGAACTGCCATAACATACGAGGCTATGGGCCAAGTACTTTAAAATAGGAAAAGTGTAGTTAGGTGCTTGATAACTGGCGCAGTCTCAGTGTGGTGAACGGCCTCCTTACCTGCTGTAAAACTCTATCACTCTAAGTTACAAGTTTTGTAAATCAGTTCACGGGAGTTACAACTTCCCAGAGGTCAGTATCCACTATTAGTTTCTTTGGTAAGCCCATGTGAGACAGAGAAGGAGAGTCTATGGCAGCCCTCCTGCCGTTCCTCTGTAGGTCAAATAGCAATTAACTAAGAACATCAGACATGTACATTTAAGTAATTCAACCAGTTCCAATTTCTGAAGAAGGGTCTAGACTTGAAACGTCAGCTTTCCTGCTCCTCTGATGCTGCTTGGCCTGCGGTGTTCATCCAGCGCTACACCTTGTTGTCCCAATTTTAGTCATGTTCAGCCCTGAGACAAGGACAAGTATTTCAGGAGCAATAGTTGATCTTGGTGCGATAACTAGAAGGTCTTGAGCTAACAGCGTGGCTTTAACACCTCCCCCAACCCCTAATTCCTGCCCCTTAAAGTTTCCATTGTCAGGTCATGTGGTAACTAAAAGCATTTTAGCATAATGAATCTTGACGTTTCACTTTGACCAGAGCTGGCTGACAGCAGAAAGCTCATCTCCAGACTCTTTAGCTGGAATATCCACACAATGCAGCTTCTGGAAGTATGATCATGTGATCCGCTGTGGCTATTTTATGAGTTCATCAAGGTTGTCCGCTTATAAAAGAAACAGAATTTAAGAATAAAAATACAGAATACAGGCTTTTTTTGGGATTTCTCTTCATGCTCTCTGGCTATTATATGTGTGGATATGTTGTAACACCCATCTGGTGCACTAATGCCCTTTAGGGAAGAAAGTCTGTCACTTTTACCCGGTCTGGCCTACAAGTGACTCAGACCCACAACAATGTAGATCACTCTGAACAGCCTTCTTAAATGGTCCCGCAAGCCACTCAGTTCAAGAGCATTTAGGGATGGGCAACAAATGCTAGCCCTGCCAGTAATGCACAGATCTGAGTAAAGAAGAAGAAAAAATAAAATCACAGCTTAACAACATTCCCACCTGAATGAGACCAATCGTCAACCAAATAGTACTGGCCATGCCAAATCTCAGTATACGGCTTGATGGTACAACATCACTCTCAGCAGTTCTTTTTAATTGAGAATAAGGATCCATTGAAGTCAGATTTTCAAATCCAACAACCTGAAAACAAGAAAACAAAATTATTACATTTTCTGTTCATTATAGGTTATATTATATTATAGTAGTATAACGTAGTCAGTCGAAAATCTAAATTTAAGTTTGAACAGAGGGTACACCAAAGTACAAAACATTATGTTTGAAAAAAAAAGTATATCCACAGCAAAACCTACAAAGTAATCTTGCAATAAAGTTTGCAATGGAGAAACCAATCCAAAACAGAAACAGGTATTCATATGGTAGAATTTATCTTCCGGCCCTTGAAGATCAATTAGCAGTAAGTTTCATTGCTGATGTCACCATGTATTTTATTCATGGAACATGCGTATCACTTCTAGACCTATGCCTACTCCAAAGTGGCCTTGAGAATGTATTGATGAGACACTTTCTTGAGCCAATGAGTTCCATGTGGTGTGATACACTCACAGTTCATTTAAAACCTCAACAATATGGTTTTCTGCCTGCTAGTCCATAAACCCCTTCCTTAGCCATTAGGAAGGAATACTATTTAATGAGGTTGACAATAATGCTTATATTTGCCACAAGTGATATGACTGCCTTTGAGGAGCAAAAAGACAGAAGAATGACCTCTTAGAGTAGTTGTTTAGTCCTTTGTAGGCAGGTGGCATTCTCCTTTACATTATAGCAGCAGTGTCAAGATCAAATTGCTGTCTGTGGCTCAATAACTCTTGTCTTGTATTTCTATGAAATGTCTTGGGATTTCTTTCTGTGTGAAGTCACCATTTAAGATCAAATTATTGGATTTATTCACTATGCCAGGCACAAGAAGGATCCCATTTCTGATCACTACCAATATTATTCTCAGGTCTTGTAATTAGCTTCATCTACCTTGTGGTAAGCAAAGAATAAAAACAACATCTGTCAAAGTTATGTTCCTTATCACAATCCAGTGACTGTTGCTGGAGTGTACACGTGCTCTTGGGAGATGACAAGATCAATTTTCACTGATGCCCTCCACATTGAAAACACTGCCTTAATTTACTATCTAAGCCCAAAAATGAAGGATGGTCTTTTTAGTAATGTAGAAAATGATGGCTTCTGCAGTGCTGATTTTTGAGCTTGTTGCATTAACTGGGTACATTTGATTTCTGCTGACAATGCATCTCATGTGCATTTCTGGCAGGCGTCTGGACTGTCTTCAAGTTGTTCCGCTTATTCTGACATAAAAATTTAAATAAAGGTACAAAGTTGCAATTCCCTAGTGCTCTGGCACTACCCCTCTACCTAAGGTGGGATGGAGAATTATGGCCAGTGCCTTGTCAATTTCCATCTTTACTAAGTCTCTTTTGGTGCATCTCAGTAGACCCTAGTGTCAAATTTTAAGTACAGCCAGTATTATCCAACACCTCTTCTTTATCAATTTTTAGCACACCTAGTATCTCGATTACCTCCTCTTTCTCTATGAATGGTCAAACTTGTATTTCATGGTAAAGACAGATATAAAGTAGTAATTAACTATCTCAACCACTGGAACTTGGAAGCAGAAGTAGGCAATTCAGCCAACTGAGCTTGCTCCACCATTCAATAAAATCACTGTGGATCATCTGCATTTAGCTAATTTTCTGCATTATCCCAATATCCTTTTGTGCAATTATTATCTAGAAATTGATCTCTGTCTTGAAAATACTCATTGACTGAATATCCACAAATCTCTGGGATAGGGAATTCTGACGATTTACGATGAACTGTGGGAAGAAATTCTTCCTCAACTCAGTCCTAAATGGCTTGGCCCTTATGCAAAAATTTATCCCTTGATTCTAGGCACCCATTTAGGAAATGGTAAGACCATATGACCAGAAGATATAGGAGCAGAATTAAGCCATTTGGTCTATCGAGTCTACTCTACTATTTGATCACGCCCAAAATGTGTTTCAACTCCATTCTCCTGCCTTCTTCCTGTAAAACTTGATCCCTTTCATCAAGAACCTATTTATGTTTGTATTAAATGCACTCAGTGACTTGGCCTTCACAGAACTCTGCAACGAGTTCCACAGATTCACCACCCTCTGGCTGTAGAAATTCCTCCTCATCTCAGTTCTAAAGGGTCATCCCTTCACTTTGAGGCTGTGCCCTTGGATCCCAAAGCCAGGAAGGTATCAAGTATATGCCCTCAGGCACTGGCTGGAAGTCAGGGTGCCAGAAAGTCTAATCTATACTTCTCCAATACACAACCCTTGGGTTGGTTGTAACTAGTTCACCTGAATCTTTGTGACCTCTCTGGCCTTGGTTTCTGCTGTTCTCTGTAGCCGATAGCTGCTTAAATTAGTTTGGCCTATTTCCTGTCAGGTCCAATTTTTCTGGTTGTGGGGCAATTGAGAACGTCCAATTTTGGGCTCGTGGTCACGTGACAACAAAGGGATAGGCCAATTAATTATAGATCAATCAACTGGACTTCCATGGCAGGCAAACTGTTTGAACTAATTCTGAAAAATTGTTTAAACTATCACCTAGAAAGGCATGGCATAATCAGGAGAAATCTGCCTGATTTTGCAAATGGAAAATCAATTATTAAATTAATTGAATATTTTGAGGAAACAATAATGGGACTTGATAAGAGTACTTCAGCAGATGTTGTCTAAATGTATTTCAAAGAGACATTTATCACAGGTCAAAAATGTAAAAGTTCATGGGATGCAGAGCTCTGTGGTGAGTTGAATCCAAAATTGGCTCAGTGACAGGAAACAATGAGGGTTTATGAATGTTTTTACAGTTTGAAACCAGTTTCCACGCCATTCCACAGACTCAGTGTTGCGCACATGCTGTTTTGTTGTATATGTTAATGATTTGGCTTTAAGTGTGGCAGGCATGGTTATGAAATTTGCGGATAACACAAAATTTGGCCTGGTAGTTGATAGCAAAGAAGATAATTGTCGTCTCCAAAATGATTTCAGTGTTTTAATGTAGTGGACTGAATAGTGGCAAATGGAATTCAATACAGAAATATGTGAAGTAATGCATTTTATGAGGGCAAGAAAGCAGGGGACAGAACAAATGAGAGGATATTGAGAGGGGCAGAGGAAGTGAGAGACCTGGGAGTACATGTCCACAGATCTTTGAAGCTGTGAGAAATGCAGATAACATGGTGGAGAAAAAAGTAAATGTGAATATTTTCCTTTATTGGACAAAGTAGAGAATTCAAGAGCAGGCATGAAAACTGGAACTGAATAAGATGTTCGCTCGGCCACAGCTGGAATTTTCTGTTCAGTTCTGGCATTGCAGGAAGGATATAATTGCTCTGAAAATAAGTTTAGAGGAAACTTATAAGAATGTTTCCAGGGCTTGGAAACTGCAACTATGATGAAAGATTGGAAAAGCTTAGGACAGAAGAGACTGACATGTAGCTTAGTTGAAATGTACAAAAGTTTGAGGAACCTAGATGGAATAGACAGGAAAGATCTGTTTCCCCTCATAGAGAGGTAAATTACTGGAGCACAGATTTAAAGTGATTGGTAGAAGGATTAGAGAGGACATAAAAATAAACATTTTCATTCAGAGTGTGGTTGGTATCTGGAATTAGCTGCTGAATTTAGCTCTGAAGGTAGAAACCTGCAACTTGTTTAAAAGGTACTTTGATCTGCTCTAACCTGTAAGGCTACAGAACAGGTACTGGAAGACTGGATTAGAATGGGGGACTAGAACTTTTTTTTTGGTCAGCGCAGATATAATGGGTGAGTGGCCTCTTTCTGTGCCATAATTTTGCTATGGTTCCATTAAAGTTCCTATTATCTTTTCTTAGCAGATCTTTGACGACCATTAATACAATAATTTGCTCAGGAATTGCTGATGCCTCAACTAAAATGGTACAGGACCTGGTGCCTTTAAGTGTATGTGTAGAATGCTTGCACCTACCACTGGCTCCATGCAAGAGCATGAAAACTAATATAGATATCTTCAGAAAAGGAAAGAAAATGTTGGATAAAGTGGAAAGATACAAATATTTATATGTTGAGTCATTACTGAATTAATAACTAACTGCTTTGCCTGAAAATGGAAGATGATCATAAATAGTAACAATTTGTACTTTGTCTTTGAAATCTGGGAAAAGTACAAGACTGGAAAAAGACAAACTAAATCCCATAGGACAACAAAATATGCTCAGCAGATCTGGTAGTATCAGACAGAAGCAGAGTTAACCTTTGAGTCCAATAATATCTTTCTGCAGAACTGTTCCAAAGTTCTGAAGAGGAGTCACATTGGACCCAAAATGTTACCAATGTTTCTCTTCCTGTCTGATAGGGTAAGACATGCTTAGTTTTTCCAAGAACATTCTGTTTTTATTCCAGGTTTCCACCATGCTCAGCATATTTTTATTCAAGTATCAAACAATAATGTTGTCCCAATGATCCACTTAATTAAATACATATTCAAGCATGCACCTCCAATATCTCATTTCGCTGCCTATTTTAGATACCACCATGTACATAATGGAATATAATCTAAATTGTTTGTATACCTTGCCCCTTCTCAGCTTGTGTCTTTGTCCCCAACCTTTTGCGATAATAGCAATCTCAAGTATATTATTCAGTAAAATTTATTTTAAATGAATTTAATTTTACTTTATTTAATATTAATTTTATTTTAATTTCTTGAATGCTTGTTTACGTTCTTTTCCTCACCTATTTGATGTTAAACTTACTTTCAAAAAGAAAATAACAGCAATGATTTGAAAAATAGGATTAGTTTTCCTGATTGTTTGGATGTTATTCCATTCATTTGCTACGAAGTATGTCCTCCAAATGCTCACAGGAGCTGGGGCAGTCTTTATATCACCTCCACCTATAAGCAATGAACAAACAATTTGATTCATATACGAATAAAAGAAACTAAAATCCAAAACAGACACAGAAAAGAAAATGCTGGAAATGCATAGTAAAATAATCACCCTCAAACAAAGGAGAGGCAGGTGTCCAAGCTCAATAATAGCATTTCATAATTCACTGGGGCCCTCTGTAATACTGTAGTCAGAATATGGATTTTTAGAAACATCCGGTTTGAGCCACACTTCCACTTTCCTTTACAGAAAGTAGTAGTGCTGAAGAAGTAAAGATCCTCTTTCTGTCTGTGTATAATGTTTTTGCCAGAATACAGTTCTGATGGAGGAGTAAATGAAACTTGAATTTGTTTTGTTTTAACATTTTTAAGATAGGTGAATATAGTTGTTTTTCTAGCATCTTCTGCTTTCATTTGGGTCATCTACATAAATCACATTGTAAATTCATCATTTATTTCCATATGTAGGGCTTTCCTTTTACCAATGTATAAATTCTTTCGATATTTTAATCTATTTTCATTGTAATATAGAGATAACCTTTCATACTATCTATAAGCATCTCACTTTTCTACTAATCCATTAGCAAGTTATTTAACTAATTGACTTGTCACCTTTTATCTTTCCCTACTCTCACTTTCCAACTCGACCAAACTGCTCATATTTAATTTTTATCTCTGTTATAAGATTATGTTGTAAAAAAGCGACATTTTTTCCCTTTGTAGGTTATCATTTTGTCTCTTCTTCTATACTGAATTACATGAACATATGAATTTGAAGCAGGAGTAAGCCATTTGGTTCATTGAGCCTACTCCGTCATTTGATAAGAAGACTGAAGAAGATCATACCGGATTTGAAATGTTAACTCTGTTTCTCTTTCCACAGATATTGCCAAGAGCTGCTGGGCTTCTCCAGCATTCTTTGTGTTTATTTCAAATTTCCAACATCTACCGTATTTTGCTTTTATTCAACTGTACACAGAAATCCGGAAGAGGTCTAATCAATGTCTTATTTCATCATAATTTCCTGTATTCTATCTCTATATTGGTGAAACCAGAACATTGTTTGTTTTATTAACAGCTCTCGTTATCTGTACTGCCATCTTTAATGACTTATGCACATATACACCCAGGTGTCTCTGTTCCTGCAATCCTTTAGAATAATACCCTATTCTTTACACGTTTGTTCATATTCATTGTACCAAAACACATCACCTCACACTTCTCCACATTGGACTTTGTCTGCCAACTATCCATCTACTTCAATAATGTGTCAATGTGCTTTTGAAGTTCTATATCATCTTCTTACAATACTCTCAAGTTTTATGTCATCTGAAACTTTTTGAAATTGTCCCCTGCAAACCAGAAACTGGATTATATATCTCAAGAAATGCAAAGGTCTGAATACTAATCCATGGGGAACTCCACATAAACTGTCTTCAGGCTCAAAAAGTGTCCATTAACCAGTAATCTCTGTTTCTAGTCCTTCAGCCAATTTTGTATCTATGTTATTTCTATTCCTTTTGATCTATAGCCTATAACATTTCTCACAAGTCTGTTGTGTGGCACTATTTCAAATGTCTTTTGGAAGTCCACGTTTATCGCATCAATGGTCTTCCCCTCATCAAAATGTTCAGCAAGTTAGTTAGACATGATTTTTCCTTAACAAGTCCATGGCGACTCTTCTGAATCAAACCACATTTTTCAACTTGATTGTTATATCTATATGAATAATAATTTCTAGATATTTCCTCATCAGTGAAGTTAAACCGACTGGTCTGTAATTGCTGGGCCGATCTTTATAAACTTGTTTGAATAAGACAATCATAACATATAATTATAATTACAAACATATAACTGAATTAATCAATTATATTTAAAATTAAGCTAATGAGTTCTCTGGTTATAAATTTCAATACCGCATGAAACTCTTTTCAGATGAAGAGAATAATCTCTGATTAGTAAACTGGAAAACATAACAGTAAGGGATTGCAAAGTGTATGTTCTAGTCCTGTAAGCATCTTCCAGTGGGTGATGTTCAGACCAAAATTTCATACTGTTTAAAATACTGAATCATAACAACAATAGTAATGCACAAAATAATTAATAAATCTGTCAACATTTTAAAACTGAATATTTGAATTAAATAACAAAGTAGGAAATAAAGATGACAAAATGCAACATTACCTGCAACAGACTTGATAATTTTACCCTTGGGTCTCTCCCAGTCAATGAAAAAGATATCCATAGTTAACTGTATTCCCAGTTGATGTAAAAGCTGAAGAAACTGAGAATTGACATCAAGAATAGTGAAAATAATAATAAATAATAAGTTTGATGTCAAAAGAAATTGAACAGAGTAAACATGACAGTGTGATGAACAAGTATAGTACAGAAAAAAAAAGGATAACAGTAGTATCAGTTTAGGGATGGGATCTGGAATTGTAAAGATAATATGTTAAACAATAAATATACTTGATTAACTGCAGTGGGTGTGTTTGTCATGGTATGTATAGACCATTACTTATTATAGAATCATAGAATGTTTAAAGCTTGGAACAACACTACATGGCCCACTTGTTACTCTCTGTAAGAGCAACTTATGTATTCCCACTTCCCATCCTTACCCCGCTGCCTGCAGGTTTTTCTGTCTAGGCGCTTTCCAGTTCCCTTTTGTAAGCCTGATTTTATCTGATACCATCACATTCCTGAGTAGTTAATTCCAAATCCTAATCACACACTGAGTTAAAGGATTTCTCATATTTGATCTCATGCAGTCAAGTTCAATTTTAATGACACCATGTACATCCAAATAGATGAGTTCTCATGGGTCCTTTCTAGGTTTAGTGCTTGCTAACATTTTTGGCAGTTTCAACAAGAAACATGTTTTTGATGTAATGAGCAATAATCTCCTACTCTGTGTATTTCTGATATTTAGATGATGCATTTTTGAATCTGCATCTGTGTTCAAGGACAATGCATTCAAGATCCATATCTTCAATTACAAAGTAGTTTATAGGGTCATTCCAGTCTAGCTCACCAACCTCCTCTAGTCTTCCAGCTGAGTCTATGCTTTTTTGTTGATCAGTGGTGGTTGGGAAAAGAACATCTGTTAAATTCATTGACCTGAGGATACATTGTAGTGCAAACCCAAACTGACCAATATCCTTTACGCACATACCTTTAGGACAAATGCACTGATCACACAAGCAATAAAGTGTCCCTCTTGGCTAGGTGTGGGCAGAAAAACAGAAACAATCCGTTGACCCTAAAGAAACAAGTAATAGCTAAGCAATTATCAACATAATTTTTTAAAAAATCATTTATGAGGTGTTGGCATTGCTAGCTAGACAAGCATTTATTGCCCTTTCCCAGATATCCCTGAGACGGTGGTGGTGAGCTGCCTTTCTGAACTTCTACAGTTCATTTGGTGTAGGGAGACCCACAATGTGTTAGTTGTTTTGATAGCAATTAAGACTATTTTGAAGGAAGATCTTGCTACAAGATATACAATGTAAGTAATAAACAGATGATGCTCTGAACTTATGCCTAGAAACGCGTCAGATATAGCGTCTTTAGAAAAAATAAATGTTTTTTGAATAAATATTAAACTTACATTAAATTTAATCAAAACACTCACAATTGGTGACAAATTGAAATAAATATTATTTGATGTACATCATACATTATGTGACGATATTATAGTTATAACACATTGTATTATAGTGCTATATCTTTAGAGATACCTTGAAAAATATAAGCCAGTAAAGGCCTGTTCCAAATAATATAACAAAGAAGGCATTTGCCAAGTCTCCAGCATAAAACAGCAAGAACTTCAAGATTGTCTGTTTAAAAAAAGAACATATTATTTTTAATTTTTGTCTCATTTCAGGCTATAACTAATCTGTAGTTACCATTTAAATAATAGTTCTATAGCCTTGCCTTTACTCTATTTAGGTGTTCAAACTTCTTTTTTGTAGTTTGTATCTTATCTATATCATAAAATTCAGTTCAATTCCTTGTCTGAAGGATTTGTGGTATTAAATTTGCCTGGAAGTATAATGTCCTTCTCCATTGTCATTCTATTTAATGGTTGTTGTGTCTGCTATTTAAATGATTTGCTTGAAAGCTGTTGCAGGATTTTTTATTTTTTAAAATGCAGATACTTTTGTTATTTTATACAATTAGTAAAATTCTATTAATATTAGTTTTTAAGCAAGTTTTAAAAATATTTTCTGTTTTGAATATTGTAATTATTTTTAATTGATGTATGCTGAAGATGTTACTAAAGCTTTGTAAGTATGTCTTGTTTTAATGAAGAATCTTAATTCCTATTTTCCCATTTTATTTTTTTCTCAAAATTTCTTTAATTTCTACTAATTAAATTTGGAAAACTTCTAAATATATCAGGATTATCTTCCAATTTCTGCTGAAAAAATATTTTAAAGATTGTTAAACTGCTTTAAAATTAGGACATTCTATATTTTTAAAATTTGCCCAAGATCTAGAAGACTGTTACTTTGCACTTTATTCCCTTCGACTTGTTGATTTTTGCACCCTTTGACACTGCGGAGAATATGGGTGTGCTTCTCTGAGCATTTTGCATGATTTAACATTGGAAAAAGTATGGTGTCACACTGTTCTAACATCTTGAAGCAGTAATTTCAGCTGAATTACTGAAAGCATAGATTTAAATTTTTCTGCCTTCAATTTTTTCACTCTTATTTGTCAAATTGTACCACTGCTCCAATGACTTTCTTAATGAGTGTCATTTTTTGCAAAAAAAATTTCCGATATTCTTCTCAATAATTTCAACCAATTTTAATGTTTGTTTGATTAATATAGCAATTTAACGCTCCATTAGTGTCAGCTTAGAAAATTTTCTTCAATGTAAAAATTTTGACCCTTCCTGTAACGGACTGAACTTACTTTAGATGTCCAATATTTATCACTGTATCCTGGAGTATTATTTGGACTTTTTCTGTGCAGCTCTGGTAAAATCTGCCTGGTCAACATGAGCTTTATCAACATTTTTCACTATTTCTGGCTGTTTCAGGTTTCCAGGAGCTGTTACTGCTTCTAGTTGCTACCTTTGCAAGGTGTGACATGCCCTATATATTCCTAAAGTATTGAATATTTCAAGCGAGACTTGTTTTTTAGACTGTTCTTTTTTCTTCACCTTGCACGTGACTTTTGATGAACTGAAGTATCACCACTGCTGACATATTTTACAAGACAGTGGTGTTAGTCCTATCTTGTATAATACAAGGATACAACAATAATAGGGCAGAGATAAATTAGGAGTAAAAGTTTTAAACTGGGGGAAGACAAATTTTAGGGAGAAGTGATTTGGCTGAGGTGGATCGGACAGGACTGCTAAAGGATAAATCAGTGGTAAACCAGTTGGAGGCGCTAAAAGGGTGAGATCCTTAGAGTTCAAAGCATGCATGTCCCCTCCAAAAATAAGAATGATACTCCCCCTAGGCACCCTTGGTTTTCTTAGAAAAATACAGGGTAAGATTAAACAGAAAAAGAGACCTTATGTTAGTCACAAAAAAACTTAACATAGCAGACTGCCTGAAGAAATATAGAAAGTACAAGGATCAAGTTAAAAAATAAATAAGGAAATTAAAGAGAGGGCATAAAAAATTAGTAAACAAGATAATGGAAAACCCACAGATGTTTCATCAGTATATAGAAAGCAAAAGGATAGTTAAAGAAATGGTGGGGCCTATCAGAGATGAAAAAGAGTACCTGTGTGAAAATGCAGAGGATATGGGAAGAAATTTTTGTCTTCGAATTCACAAAAAAAAGGGATGATTTGGATGTAGTAATCCAAGAGGAGCAATGTGAAATATTGGACAAAATAATCATAACAAGGCAGGAAGTATTAGAGGAGTTGGAATCCTTAAAAGTGGAAAGTTGTCATTGCCAGGTGGATTCTTCCCTAGGATGTTAAAGGAGGTCAGGGAGGAAATAGCAGATGCTCTGAGGATTAGTTTCCACTCTTCACTAGACACAGGTGCAGTGCCAAAGGGCTGGAGGAAAGCTAGTGTAATTCCATTGTTTTAAAAGAGTACAAAGGAAATGCCAAATAATTATAGACTAGTTAGTCTTACTTTGGTGGTGGAAAAATTATTAGAATCAATCCTGAGAGATCAGATAAACTGTCACTTAGAATGTCATGGACTAATCAGGAAATATCAGAATGGATTTATTAAGGCCATGCCTTACAAATTTAATTAATTTCTTTCAGGAAGTGACATGGAGGATCAATGAGGGTAGTGCAGTGGATGTTGTCTACATGGGATTTAGTAAAGCATTTGGTCTTATATGGAAGACTGGTCAAAAAGGTAAAAGCCAATGGGATAAAGGATAATGTGGCAAATTGGATTCAAAGTTGGCTTAACAATAGAAAATAGAAGGTAATGCTCGATGTGAATAGAAAGTTGTTTCAAGTGGCGCTCCACAGGGCTCGGTGTTGGGACTCCTGCTGTTTGTTTTATACATTAACAATTTGGACTTGAATGTGGGGGGGTGCAATTGGGAAATTTGCAGACGACACAAAAATTGTCATGTAGTGGCGAGTGTAGAGGATAGCTGTAGGCTCAAATGATATAGATGGGTTGGTGGAGTGGGCAGGAAAGTGGCAGGTGGAGTTCAACTCTAATAAGGGGGATCTAATGCATTTAGGGAGGTCAAACAGTAAAAGGGAATACACAATAAACGGGAATGTACTGAGAAGAGTTGATGAAGTGAGAGATCTCAGCGTGCTCCCCAGAGGTAGCTATACAGGTAGATAAAGTTGTAAAGGATATCTGGTCAGCATGGACAAGTCGGACTGAAGGGTCTGTTTCTGTGCTGTACATCTCTGAAGGCATATGGAATGCTCTCCTTCATTGCCAGAGGTATTTCAATATAATGATGAAACTGTATAACACACTGTGAGGCCACAACTGGAGCACTGTGTGCAGTTCTGGTCATTACTGGATGGATGTAATTGTTCTGGACAGTGTGCAGAGAAGATTTACTACAATGCTGCCAGGACTGAGAACTGTAGCTATGAGGACAGATTGGAGGTGTTGGGTTGTTTTCCTTGGAACAGAGAAGGCTGAGGGGTGATATGATTGAGGTACTGTATACAATGTACTGTTAGACATAGGAAGAACCTATTTCCATTGGCAGACAGTTCAAAAAACAAGAATCATAGATTTAAGCTAAGTGGCAGAAGTGTTGTGGGAATGTAAGGAAAAACTTCTTTTCTGCAGAGAGTGGTGGGTATCTGGAATTCTCTGAGTTGGCAGTAGAGGCAGAGACCCTAAACTCTTTCAAGAAGTACCTGGATCTGCACCTTAAGTACTGTAAGCTGCAGGGCTATGAGTCGTGTGCAGGAAGACGGAATTATAAAGGGCACCTGTGTGTCTTTAGGTCCTCATGGACAAGATGAGCCAAATGGCCTCTACTGTGCTGTATCATTTCCATGGTTCCACGGTTATACAGGTAAATGAAATCTTCAGACACCCATTGCTATCATCAACTTGTATAATGGCAGGCAAATGATGTCACCATTGCAGAACTCATAGGGAAGAAGTCTTGTTCACATCTCACAGGAACAGTCTTTGACATTTGATGGCTGAGCTTACCTTTTGATGGCACTAACTGTCAGACACTAACTGTCTTATAAAACATAAACCACCACTCATCCACCCTAGCCAACTAGTTTATTTCAGGGATAACAAGGTGTAGAGCTGGATGAACACAGCAGGCCAAGCAGCATCATAGGAGCAGGAAGGCTGACGTTTCGGGCCTAGACCCTTCATCAGAAATGGGGAAGGGGGTTCTGAAATAAATAGGGAGAGAGGGGGAGGTGGATAGAAGATGGATAGAGGAGAAGATAGGTGGAGAGGAAACAGACAGGTCAAAGAGGCGGGGATGGAGCCAGTAAAAGTGACTGTAGGTGGGGAGGTAGGGAGGAGATAGGTCAGTCCAGGGAGGATGGACAGGTCAAGGGGGCGGGATGAGGTTAGTAGGTAGGAAATGGGGGTGCGGCTTGAGGTGGGAGGAGGGGATAGGTGGGAACGTGCTGGGCTGGTTTTGGGATGCGGTAGAGGGAGGGGAGATTTTGAAGCTTGTGAAATCCACATTGATACCATTGGGCTGCAGGGTTCCCAAGCGGAATATGAGTTGCTGTTCTTGCAACCTTCGGGTGGCATCGTTGCGGCACTGCAGGAGGCCCAGGATGGACATGTCGTCTGAGGAATGGGAGGGGGAGTTGAAATGGTTTGCGACTGGGAGGTGCAGTTGTTTATTGCGGACCGAGCTTAGATGTTCTGTAAAGCGGTCCCCAAGCCTCCGCTTGGTTTCCCCGATGTAGAGGAGGCCACAATGGGTACAGAGGATGCAGTATACCACATTAGCAGATGTGCAGGTGAACATCTGCTTGATGTGGAAAGTCTTCTTGGAGCCTGGGACGGGGGTGAGGGAGGTGGTGTGAGGGCAGGTGTAGCACTTTTCCAGGGAAAAGTGCCGGGTATGGTGGAGCTGGAGGGGAGTGTGGAGCGGACAAGGGAGTTGCGGAGAGAGTGGCCCCTCCAGAAAGCAGATAAGGGTGGGGAGGGAAAAATGTCTTTGGTGGTGGGGTCGGATTGCAGATGGCGGAAGTGTCGGAGGATGATGCGTTGGATCCGGAGGTTGGTGGGGTGGTATGTGAGGACGAGGGGGATTCTTTTTTGGTTGTTATTGCGGGGGTGGGGTGTGAGGGATGAGTTGCGGGAAATGCAGGAGACACGGTGGAGGGCGTTCTCGACCACTGAGGGGGGGGAAGTTGCGGTCCTTGAAAAACGAGGACATCTGAGATGTACAGGAGTGGAATGCCTCATCCTGGGAGCAGATGCAGCGGAGGCGAAGGAATTGGGAATAGGGGATGGCATTTTTGCAGGAAGGTGGGTGGGAGGAGGTGTATTCTAGGTAGCTGTGGGAGTCGGTGGGCTTGAAATGGATATTGGTTTCTAGGTGGTTGCCCGAGATGGAGACAGAGAGGTCCAGGACGGTGAGAGAGGTGTTAGAGATGGTCCAGGTGAACTTAAGGTTGGGGTGGAAGGTGTTGGTGAAGTGGCTGAACTGTTCGAGCTCCTCGTGGGAGCACGAGGCGGCGCCGATACAGTCATCAATGTAACGGAGGAAGAGGTGGCGTTTAGGGCCAGTGTAGGTATGGAAGAGGGATTGTTCCACGTAACCTACAAACTTCAAACTCTCCCCTCCCCCTACCGCATCCCAAAACCAGCCCAGCTCGTCCCCGCCTCCCTAAACTGTTCTTCCTCCCACCTAGCCCCTCCTCCCACCTCAAGCCGCACCCCCATTTCCTACCTACTAACCTCATCCCGCCCCCTTGACCTGTCCGTCCTCCCTGGACTGACCTATCTCCTCCCTACCTCCCCACCTACAGTCACCTTTACTGGCTCCATCCCCGCCTCTTTGACCTGTCTGTTTCCTCTCCACCTATCTTCTCCTCTATCCATCTTCTATCCGCCTCCCCCTCTCCCCCTATTTATTTCAGAACACCCTTCCCCTCCCCCATTTCTGAAGAAGGGTCTAGGCCCGAAATGTCAGCCTTCCTGCTCCTATGATGCTGCTTGGCCTGCTGTGTTCATCCAGCTCTACATTTTGTTATCTCAGATTCTCCAGCATCTGCAGTTCCTACTATCTCTGATATAGTTTATTTCAGGTTAAGGTTGTCCCCAAAGAGTAGGTTCCCTTTGAAACCAGTATTAAGCATGACAATCACAGAATTCAGGAGAAGATACTGGCTGATTAGGGATTACTGCACCATAAGAAAACATATTGGAGGCCAAATTTCATTTTAAATTTGTTCATGGGATATGGGTTCACTGGCTAGGTCAGCATTTATTAACAGACAACTACGATGCTGGGATCTGGAGTCACATGTAGGCCAGACTGTTTAAACATAGCAGATTACCTTCCCTAAACAACATTAGTAATCCAGGTAGGTTTTTATAACAATTGACAATGGTTACATGGTTGACATTAAACTAGCTTTTTAATTCTAGACTTTTTAAAAATTGAATTCAACTTTCACCATCTCCCATTGTGGGATTTGTGATATGGAGCTGCCGATTTGGGACTGGGGTGGACAAGGTCAGAAATCACACAACACCAGGTTATAGTCCAACAGGTTTATTTGAAAACACAAGCTTTCAGAGTCTTACTCCTTCAGCTGTTAGTGAGAGAGGTAGTATCAGACAGAGAATCTAACCAATCGGCTTCTATCTTCCTGTAACCTAACACCTTCTTCCTCGCTCTCAAGCACCTGTCCAGTCTTTGTGTCATCCGCAAACTTATGTGTGATCCTACCCAGATTCTCATTTACACCATTTATGAATATCACAAATAATAAGGAATGCACAAGCTGCTTAGTATTTATGCAAGAACGTTATTGATTTGCATGCCACCCTCACAGTTCAGGAATGATATGTGGCACCAAAGGAACATTAAAGGAGCAAACAAAATTTAAACTGAATTAGTGAAGATAATAAAAAAGTTAATTTCATTTTAAAAGTAATTTCCAAGACTTGAGCTTCCTTAAGGATATGCCCTAAACACATAGAACATAGAACAGTACAGCACAATACAGGCCCTTTGGCCCACGATGTTGTGCCAAACTTTTACCGTAATCCTAAGGACTATCTAACCTCCACCCCTACCATATACCATCATCCATATGCCTATCTAATAGCCGCTTAAATGCCCCTAATGAGGCCGACTCCACTACCCTCTCCGGCAATGCATTCCACGCCCCGACCACTCTCTGAGTAAAGAAACTACCTCTGATGTCTCCCCTATATCTACCTCCACTCACTTTAAAACTATGCCCCCTCGTAATAGCTACCTGCATCCTTGGAAAAAGTCTCTGGCTGTCTATCATTTTGTATACCTCTATCAAGTCACCTCTCATCCTTCATCGTTCTAAAGAGAAAAGCCCTAGCTCTCTCAACCTTTCCTCGTAAGACCTTCCCTCCATTCCAGGCAACATCCTGGTAAATCTCCTCTGCACTTTTTCCAATGTTTCCACATATTAGAAAATTAGCGTTGTTTTATTCACAAGTTCTCCAAATTCTACTATGTTCTCCCATGAGAAGTACACAATAAAAAAAATCACTTCTTAAATGCATACTTACTGGAACATCAATCATTCGATATCCAATTCGTCTTCTCCAACTGGCTGTCTTCAATACAGAGTATATCACTGATAAGCCACACAGGAAACCCAATGCGATCTAAAGCAGGAGAAAAGGGAACCATAAAACAATTACTTCAGTTTTTAAAAGTTTTTCCTACATTCTACTTTGCATCATCCATTCACTCACCTGTCCTCGATCCCCAACCCCCCACCCCACCATTCGCACTTTATCAACATATTTTTAATCACTGATTTTGAGAGCGGATTTATCCAAATTGTAGAATCTGGACTTTTCATTACTGTAGTTGGGCAAGTGAGTTCCTCCTTTTCCACGTGCAAAGGCTCCTCTTCCGTTCCGCTTTATCTCCCTGTCAATTTCAGACTATCAAATATGTTATACAAGAGAAGCTGAACAACAGAAAAGGAACTTGAATTCACTACTTAACTAATCAGCCCCTCAAAAATCTCTTTTAAGTCAGCCTAACAAGTACAATTTTTTTTTAAAATAAATGCTGCATTCTAACAAAACGTTTCATAAAAGAAAAGTGGGTGGCATTGTGAGAATCTGCCCTTTTGACTCTTGAACTGAAGTTTTATTTTGGATGGATGGTAGGAAAGACAGGTCATCCTGCTGATAACCATAGTTACCAAAGAATTTCTAATATGCTTCCAAAAGGTCCAAATTACTTAAATTTAAATGTATTAACCCTCAGGTCTGATTAACACATGTGCATTTTGTGAATAACTTTTTTATTCAGATAATTTGATCAGTGTTTATGGGCAGCCAACAAAAGCAATTTGACAACTGATTCTGATATTACGGCAATCTCTCTAAATATTCCTTCCACAGCACACACAAGAAAAACTGTACAAATGCGTATTGGTAAGCAGTTAAAGTAGAAAGTGTATATGTCAGACCCTAGAACCAGTGATGCTGAGGCAAAGAACTGCCCACTTCAAAACAGCACCAGTATCATACCAAATTCAATACGGTATTTGAAGTGTAAATATTGTGAAATAATTCTTCTCCTCATAATTATACTCAACTGTTCCATCAACAGTGATTTACTGATATGGTTGTTAGAGGTCAGTCATCTCAACTCCAGATCTATCAGGTTCCCTCTCAATCTTCAATGCTCCAAGAAAAACAACTAGAATGGATCCCCCGGCGCTCCTCCGAGGACTCTGCAAGATTGAGGTGTCAATATCTGCCAAAAGAATCCTAGTGTTTTAGGACCCTTGACACCCAGGATTCCATGGTCTTCGTCTCACCCTTTGTCTTTACTGGAACATATTTGCCTGTACTCTCATTACTTCATCCTTGAATGCCTTCCACTGCTCTGACAGTTTTATTTGCAAATGGCTGCTCTCAGGCCATTTGGGGGCCAAATCATAGAATCATACAATACAAAAGAGACCCTTTGGTCCATCAAGTCTGCACCAATAAAACTATTCTAAAATCTGCACTAATCCCACTTTCCAGCACTACGTCCACAGCCTTGAATGGTATGAGCGTTGATTTTAGAGTAGTTTTATTGGTGCAGACTTGATGGCCCAAAGGGTCTCTTTTGTATTGTATGATTCTATGATTTCATGTGCTCATCCAAATATGTTTTAAAGGTTGTGAAGTAACCCTCCTCAACAATGCTCCCAGGCTGTGCATTCAAGATTTCCACCACCCTCTGGATGAAAAACAAATTCAAATTCTCTCTAAACCTGTTGCCTTTCATCTTAAGATTATGCCCCCTTGTTATTGACTCTTTAACTAAGGGGAGAAGCTACCTTTTTCCACTCTCTCCATGCCCCTCATAATCTTATACACCTCAATCAGGTCCCCCTTCAGTTCTCTCTGTTCCAAACAAAGCAAACTGAGCTTATCCGGCCTCTCTTTGTAGCTATAATACTCCACCTCAGGCAACATCCTGGTGAACCCTCTCTGCATCTCCTCCAGTGTCCTATACTATTCTGTGATAACCAGAACTGTACTCCAGCTCTGGCCTAAACAAAATTTTGTATGGTTCCAACATAACCTCCCTACTCTTATAATCCATGCCATGACTGGTAAGGACAAGTGTTCTCTCAGCCTTCTTAACTACCCGATTAAGTTGTATCTGTGGACAAGCACCCCAAGATCCCTCAGTTCCTTTGAACTTCCTAAATCTCACCATTCACGGAGTACTCCATTGTCTTGTTACTTTTGGATTTTGGATCCAACTTGTCAAGTCCCATGGATCTTATCGTATTGTGAATTATCTTAGTAAAATTAGCCTTTCCCAGTTTAGAACTTTCACTAGCCCATACTTATCCTTTATAACTGTCCTAAATATAATTGAGTTACAGCCACTATCTCCAGGTTTCTCCACCATAGATATGCCCTCAACCTGTCTGGGCTCATTTCTGAATATTGGGTTGAGAACTGCCCCTGATCTTTTTGAGATTTCTACATTATGGCTAAAAAGGTTCTTCTGGATGAAATTTATGAGTTTTGCTCACTCCCTACCTTGCACATCAGAACTATCTCGGTAAATATTGGGTGGTTAAAATCCCCTTCTATTACGGCTTTAATATTCTTACAGTCCCCTGAAATTTGATTACACGTTTGATTCTCTATGACTCCCTGACTGATTGGAAGCCAATATAAACACCCAAAAGTGTGTATGCCCCCTTGAGTGTTTCTTACTTCTACCTATATGGCAAAATTTGATGAGTCTTCCAAGATATCTTCCCTCCTCACTATCATAAGAACAAAGAACAATGCAGCACAAGAACAGGTCCTGTGGCCCTTCAAGCCTGCACAGTCACATTTTGTCCTTCCGTATTAAAACTTATAGAATCAATATCCTTCTATTCCCTCCCTATTCATGTATTCATCCAGGTGCTTCTTGAATGCTGCTATTGGGTCTGCTTCCTCCACCTCCTCTGCCAGCATGTTCCAGGCACTCACCACCCTTTGTGTGAAAAACATGCTTTGCACATCTCTTTCAAACTCTGCCCCGCGCCCCCTTGCACCTTGAACCTATGTCCCTTAGTAATTGACCCCTCCACCCTTGGAAAAAGCCTTGTACATTCCATTCTATCCATGCCACTCCAATCTTATAAACTTCTATCAGGTTGCCCCCTCAGCCTCCTGCATTCCAGTGGAAAAAAAAACCCAGTCTATCCAACCTTTCTTCATAGCTAAAATCCCCATACCAGGCAACATCTTGTGAAACTTTTTCTGTACCTTCTCCAAAGCATGCACATCATTCTGGTAGGGCAGTGACCAGAACTATACGCAATATTGCAAGTGTGGCCTAACTAAAGTTCTATAAAGCTGCAGCATAACTTGTCCGTTCTTCTACTCAATGCCCCTTCCAATGAAGGCAACCATGCCATAAGCCTTTTTTACTACCTTATCTACCTGCGCTGCCACCTTGAGTGATCTATAGACCTGCACACCCAGATCTCTCTGCATACCAATACTCCTAAGGGTTCTGCCATTCACTGTATAATTTCCACATGTACTTGACCTTCCAAAATGCATCACCTCACATTTGGCTGGGTTAAACACTATCTGCCATTTTTCTGCCCATGCTTCCAACTGATCTATATCATGCTGTATCCTCTGACAATTTTTGTATCATCCGCAAACATACTAATTAGACCAACTACGTTTTCCTTCAAAACATTTATGTAGATCACGAACAGCAGAGGTCCCTGCACCGATCCCTGTGGAACACCGCTAGTCACAGTCCTCCATTTCCAAATGCTTCCTGCCATCACTACCCTCTGTTTCCTATGACTAAGCCAGTTCTGTATCCATCTTGCCAGCTCATCCCTGATACCATGTGACTTCACCTTTTGTACCAGTCTTCCATGAGGGACTTTGTCAAAGGCTTTACTCAAGTCCATGTAGACAACATCAACCATTTTTCCCTCATCAATAAATCTTTGTCAGCTCCTCAAAAAACACGATCAAGTTAGTGAGGCACGACTTCCCCTGCACAAAACCCTGTTGTTTCTCGTTAATCAGTCCATTTGCTTCTAAATGCTTATAGATCTTGTCCCTGCGAATCTTTTCCTCTTTTCTCCCCCTCTCTATCTCACTAAATACCCTATACCAAGGAATGTTGAACTGCCATTACTGACATCTTTCAGCAAGTTTCAGTAATAGCTATAAAATCATAGTCTTATGTGCCTATCTGTACCTCAGGTTTGTTTATCATATTCTTCAGGTTCCTTGTATCCAAATATATTCCATTTACCCTTGGTTGAAGCCCCTGGTAGGACGCCATGGTAATGGAGAATCTTTGATTGAGAAAAGAGGTGGCTATGTCTGAGGCCCGACTGAACAAGGTGCTATCAGATTAGAAGCAATGAAGTCCTTAAAGGGTATGAGAAAGTCTAGCAAAGCCAACCCATTTTCAGCAACTCATAGCAACTATTCAGTTTCTCTTCTTCCCTGGCTTACTATCAACAATCCCTTTGTCTGCGTTCCTTTTTTTTCTCTCTGGACACTGTCTCCATTCATCCATATCACTCCTCTTCCCCATCATCAGCATAAATACCAACATTTCCTAGCTGTGTCCAGTTTTGACAAGTGTCACTGGACTCGTTGTTGGGTGTTCCCTTGATGACTCATACATTTAAGTGTGCAAATGCTGCTTATGGAGAGAGTTACAATTGGATAGTGTGTGAGGAACTGCAAAATGTACCGAGCCCTACTCATTAGGACACGGGTGCTGTCCTTTGAGGTTTTCAGAAACAGGACATCTTTGGATAAGAGGCAAAGAACATTCCATATACTGGCAGGTGCCCTAGCAGTACTGTGCATACCTGCAGAGAGATCAAAGAACTCTGCCACAAGCATGAGTGGCATGATGCCACTAGTCTTTGTGATTATTTCTTTACCTGTGGAATGAATAGTGATATGATAATCAAACATAGTAATTTGATTTGGCCAGTTGTTAGGGATAGGAGGGTGTGACTTTGAGTGAGACAGGTACAGGGAACCAGAGGGTAGGAGCCTCAGCTTTTGCAATTGTCCAAAAGATTTGAGACTTTTCGCCTAGTTTGGATGAGAGTGGAGGCTGCAGGGTGCATGAGCCAACTTTTATTTATTTATTCACTCATGGGATGTGGGTATCACTGGTTGCTCAGCATTTATTGCCCATTCCTAGTTGCCCTTGAGAAGATGGTGGTGAGCTGCCTTCTTAAATCGCTGCCATCCATGTGATCCACAATGCCCTTAGGGAAGAAATTCCAGGATTT